CAGAGCTTCTTGATTAAATAAAAAATATTGTGAGTAGACAGACAAATCATTTAAATACTGAGGAGTCAAAGTCAGGATCATACAATATTTATCAGTTTCCATTGCAAAGGAATAGAGAGCTTGGAATACCATGTTCCAGCAGACAAAAGATCTAGGCTCATAAGCAGGAATAACTTATCCAGCAAAACTGAGTATGATGCTACAGGGGGGAAAAAACAGATCTTTAATGAAATAGAGGACTTCCAAGCATTCCTAATGAAAAAGGCAGATATGAGTAAAAAAAATTTGAAATACAAACTTGAAAATCAAGAGTAACATAAAAAGGTAAACATGAGTGAGTAGTCATAAGGAACTAAACAAGGATAAACTGTTTATATATGGAGAAGATAATATATGATAGTATTATTACACTCAGAACTCTATCACCATCATGGGTCACAGAGGGAGTCTAATTAGTTGGCAGACCTAAAAGTGGTTCTGTTAAGTTTTGATGATCTTAAAAGAAAAATGGAAAGGAAAGGGTAAAGGAGTACATGAGGGAAGTCAGGGGTAAAAAGAGGAAGGGGAAACTCACACAATTGGATTATAATTAGAAGACTATAAAAGCAAGGAGTAATGCTGGGAGCAAGCATCACTTGAACCTCATTGTCATCAGAACTGATTGAAGTTGGGGAAAATATGCACATAACATACACACATACACACAGTTAAGTACAGAAATACATTTCACTCAACAGAGAAACAGGAGGGAAAAAGGAGAAGAGGGAGGGGAGAATAAGATGGACGATAAAGAGAGAGGTGAGTCTTAAGCAAAACAAACTCTTGAAGAGGGGGTGGGAAACAGAAGGATAAGTATAAGAGAATAAGACTGAGAGAAATACAACAATTAACAGTCATAACTGTGAATGTAAATTACATGAATTCACCCATAAAATGCAGAATGGGTTAGAAACCAGAATCTAACAATATGTCATTTACAAGAAACACACTTGAAACAGAGAAATACACACAGAATTCAAATAAGTGGCTTACAAATAAGCAAAACCTATTATGTTTCAGGTAAAGTTTTTTTTTTTAAGCCAGGGTTAGGAATCATGATCTCAGACAAAGCAAAAACAGAAATAGAAGTATTTAAAAGAAATAAGCAGGGAAACTACATTTTGCTGAAACATGTTATAGATAAATAAATATCAAAACTGTATACATATGTAAAAAGTGGCATAGCACCTGAATTCTTAAAGGAAGACATAGAGTAAAACTGTAGCAGTGGGGGATCTCAATTTATACCTCTCAGAACAAAAATAAACAATAAACAAAGGAAGGGCCTGAATAGAATTTTAGAAAAGCTAGATATGATAAATCCCTGGCAATTACTGAATGGGAACAGAAATGAGGATGCCTATTTCTTAGCTGTACATGCAACTAAAATTCACAAAAATTGATTATATATTTAGTCATAAAAAACACCCCACAAACAAATGCAGAAAAGCAAAAATACTTTTAGAGATTCTGATGCAATGAAATTGTATTTAATAAAGGGCCTTTGAAACATAGATTTAAAATCATTTGGAGACTAAACATATAATACTAAAAAAAGAGTATATCAAAGAACAAATCTTAGAAATAATAATTTCAGGAAAAACAATGACCATAATTAGAAAAGAAAAAAAAAGAAAAAAAGAAAAAAGAAAATACTCTCAAATTTGTGGTATATGGCCAAAGAAGTACTTTGGAAAATTTTACATCACTAAATAATTATCGGGCATGCAAGTGGGAAAAAAACTAGAAAACAAATAAACTAAAGACATTCAATTAAATACCAAAATAGAAATCCTGAAAATTGAAAAAGAGATGAACAAAATTGATAGTAAAAAAAAACTATTAAATTAATAAATAAAACTAGGATCTGTTTTTTTCTAAAAACAATGTAATAGATAAAGCATTAGTTAACATGATTTTTAAAAAGAAGAAAACCAAATTACCAATATCAAAAAAGATGTAAATTCACAACAAATTAAGAATAAAAAAAATTATTAGGAACTATTTTGCCCACCTATATGCCAATAAAACTGACAATCTAAATGAAATGGATGAATAGTTACAATAAAATGCCCAGACTCACAAAGAAAGAAATATAAGACAACACAAATCTTAGGAAAAGATATTAAAGAGGCCATAAATGAACTCCCAAAGGGGAAAAAGTTAGGACTAGATGGATTTACAAGTGAATTTTATCACTTTAAACATTTGAAGAACAAATAATTCCAATACTACACAAAATTTAAAAATAGGAAAAGAAGTGATCCCACCAAACTCCTTCTATGTCTTGATACCTAAACCAGGCAAAGTCAAAATAGATAAAGAAAACAATACATCAATATCCCTAACGGATATTAATACAAAATTTTAAAATAAAATACCAGCAAAAAGACTATCCCAATATATCACAAATGTTATAATCTATTGCCAGTATGGATTTATACCAATAATTCAGGGTTGGTTCAATATTAGGAAAATTATAAAATGTCCAAACCCTCCCACTATAAAATTGGCTATATTAATAAAAAGGACAACAAAATCATATGACTGCATCAATATATGCAGAAAAAAAGCTTTCAATGAGATAAAACACTCATTCCTGTTAAAAACCACTGGAAAGCATAAGAATAAATGGAGCTTTCCTTAATATGATAAGTAGTATCTATCTAGAACCAAAAGCAGAAACATTCTCCGTTAATTCCTATAGGTCTTTCCAATAGTATCAAGACTAAAGCAAAAATGATTAGTATCGCCATTACCATTCAGCTTAGTACTAGAAATACTAGTTATAGCAACAATATAGGAAGAAGAAATTGAGGAAATAAGCATGGGTGAAGAGGAAAAAAATTTTACTTTTTGCAGATGATATGATGGTTTACTTGGAAAAACCTAAAGCATCTACTAAAATAACTAATTAAAATAATTCACAACTTCAGCAGAGTTGCAGGATATAAAATAAGCCCACATAAATCATTAGCATTACTAATACAATCCAGCAGGAGGTGATTGAGAAAGTCTATTTAACATAACTACATAAAATATTTGGAGTCTACCTGCCAAGACACACAAAGGAATTAGTGTTATTTAGTTGTATCCGACTCCTTATGGCCCCTTTTGGGGTTTTCTTGGCAAAGAAAACCATTTCCTTCTCCAGCTCATTTTTCAGCTGAGGAAACTGAGGCAAGCAGGGTTAAGTGAGTGTCTGAGCCCAGATTTGAACTCGTGAAGATCAGTCTTGATGACTCAGGCCTGGCACTCTATCCAGTGTGACACCTAGCTGCCTATATCACACCTACTCTTGAGCTATCCCAAGAAGGGCCTTCAGCACCCTACAACTCATTCTGGACTTCCCCAGGCTGGACAGGGTCGGCCCTAAGTTGGATCATCCTTAGGTAGAGGAGAAAGGCCACATTGGTCATTCAGTCTGGTCATTCAGGCTTTCCTCAAAGCAGAGAAGATGAGGGTGGTCTCTCTGGTTGAGCGTTCACTATTTCCTATGATCTCTAAACTGCTATCTCACCTTTGCATGCCTTTGATCTAGCCTTGTTTAGCTGTGAAAATTTAAAGTCCCCTTGGTTAAACAGATTATAAATTAGGGTCGGAGAAGACCTCAGAGACCATTTTGTCCAAAGCCTCCCCCCTCCCACTTACCCTTTTACAAATGAGATGACCGAGACATGAGGAAGTTCAATGATGCCCCAGGCCACAAGGCGGGAAGCATCCCAAGGAGAATTTGAACCACTCTGTCCCCAACAGCTGGTGCTCTTTCGACTGCACCAACAGGTGCCTAATCTATCCCCTGTCAGAGGCTGGCTAACCATGTGCCTACGAGCCCTCAGGGATAAGAAAGGGGTCAGCCTGGATCCCTTCCCTCTCAGGTGGGAGATCATCCCTTTTGTGCTCCAGGCCCTCTTCCCTCCATTGCAGGAATGCAGGTGCCTGAGCAGAAGACACAGAATGTAGTGGAGCATAGGATCTTAGATGTGAACCTGGAAGGGGGACTTAAAAAGGCAAGAATCCAACCCCCTCATTTTACTGATGGAGAAACTAAGACTGTGAATGGTTAAGGGATTTGTCCAAGGTCACAAAATTCAAGTTTCAGGTCCCCAGTTTGGGATCCTAGCTGGCCAAGCAAGTCCCCCTTTCTAGGCCTCGGTTTCCTTATCTGTAAAATGGGGGGGGAGGTGGACTAATGGCCTCTGAGATCCCTTCCACTTCCAAGTCTGTGATACTATGTATCGCTTTGGGTAGGTCACTTCAACTCGCTGGGCTTCAGTTTCCTTGTCTGTAAAATTAGATGGTCTACAACACGATCTCTATGGCTGCTCCCCACTCCAAATCCCAGTAGCCTTCTCGTCTCCTTCTGATGGGGCCTTGGTGCTATAGTGTTCCGGCGTGCTCTTGATCTGCCTGTCACTTCCTAGCTCCTCTGGGCTTTTGTCCCTAGAATTTGGGCGACAGTGAGAAATCATTCTCTGTCTGTACAGTTGGAGTGATAGGGGTTCTGGCTGGTGCAGTGCCAGGCCTGGAGTCAGAAAGATTCATCTTCCTGAGTTCAAATCCACACTGGCAGTGTGACCCTGGGCAAGTCATTTGACCCTGTTTACCTCAGTTTTCTCATCTGTAAAATGGATTGAGAAGGAAATGGCAAAACTACTCCAGCATCTCTGCCAAGAAAACCCCAAATGGGGGGTCAAGAAGAGTCAGATACAACTAAAAAGAGCTCCATAGCCACATGGTCCCCAAGGAGCCAGATCAGTGCAGTAGAGGTAGTAGGAATAAAAGCCTTCAGATCCTCTCCTCCTGCTGCCAATGCCCACATTTCTCTCCTGACTAATCTTCCTCTAAAGGGTTGGCGTAAATAATCCTTGGTCATGATTTGACTGGTACATGGAATACAATCAAAGATTTTGAGTGTGAAGAGACCTTAGACATTGACTAATCCAACTCAATCTTTTTACAGAGGAGAAAACAGAGAGGGCATAGGATTTATGCAGCTGATGAACAGCAGAATCTGGAAATAGACCTCAGGTGATTTCTTTAAGGGAATGTACTGCTTCTTCATTAATGGGTCAATGTCTACTTGGAGGGAGCCTATGGTAGAGGCCCCCAAGGACCTTCCTTTGATTCTGTGTTGTTTGGTGTTTCCATCAGTGCCTTGAATGAAACCATAGAAACCAGAGACTTACTAAATTTGCAGGTGATAGAAACTGCCACTATGAATTAGAGTCAGAATCCAAAACCATTTCAATGAGCTAAAACATTGGGTCAAATCCAATGAATGAGGATTTAAAAGGGGTGAATGAGAATTTTGCTACTTGGATTTTTTAAAAAAATCAACTTCACAAATCTAGGGGGCTTGAAGGGGGTGAGGAGGGGAAGAGGAGAAGGCATAGCTAGACTATAGTTCTCAAGAAAGAAATCTGGGGTCCTGATGAATTGATTGAAAGCTTGATATAAATCAACAATATAAGACGGCAGCTGAAAAAATATCTGTTGTGAAAGGCATTATAAGCAGAGAAGGGAGAGTCATTCCTCTGCACTTTGTCCTAGTCAGACCACATTCATCTCTGGGCACCATATTTAGGATGAAGAGAGACAAACTGGAGAAAATCCAGGAGATGGCGAGAGGACTGGAGAGCATGCCATATGAAGATGGGTTAAAGAAAGCAGGGATATTTTTAACCTGGAGAAGAGAAGAGTTAGCATAGACCTGTCTTCAAACATTTGAAGGGCTGCCACATGGAAGAGGGAACAGACTTAATATGCTGAGCCCTTTGGGGGCAGAACCAGGAGCAGGGAATGTAGAGAGATTGGTTTAAGCTTGAGGTCTGGAAAACCTTCCTAGTGAGTGATTCTTGTTTACTGATGGACTAATGATTTGAATGGTCCAAAAGCAGAATAATGTGCCCCCAGAAAGAACAGGTTCCCCATTACCTTTAGACATTTCCATAAGGCCTAGAAAATCTTCTACACCAACACAACTGTATGCCTCAGTTTCCCCATCTGACATTGCTCCCCTCTCTGAGGTATTTTGTATGTAATTTTGTAAATATTTTGCATTTATTTAATTGTATATGTGTTGTTTCTCCTCCCAGTAAAGTATGTCCCCAACACCTAGCACAGTGGGCTATACCTGGAAAGTGATTCAGAAATCTTTATTGAACAGAAAAAGAAAGACTTCCACTCCCTTCTCTGCCAGTACCTGGGACAAGGGCCCCATGAAGCAATTTCACCCCTGCAGGGATGCTGAAGGAGGCCTGTGGAAGATACCAATTTACCATACTGAGTTTCTCCCTCTGAGATCCTCCTGCAAGCGTGATCAGGAAAGGGGAGAATGAGAGGCTGCTTTGCCTTCTTCCAAGGCCTGAGATTGGTGGGGGGGTGCGGGGGGTGGAGCAGAGATGGAAGGCTCAGTATTTCCCCTGGCCCACAGGCCTGCTGGCTGGTCAACCAGGCCCCTCCTCTGGGATAAGCTGGTGGGGGGGGGAAGCATCTGAGCCCATGCCCCAGCTCCTCAACTACCTCTTTGTAAAAGGGAGCGCCTGTCCCCTGCCACCTGTTCTTAATCTAGCCCTGGGTAATCCATTCTGTACTGTGTCAGCAGTTCAAAAGGGCACTGTTAGTATTTTTTGCCGACTTCAATTAACGTGAGATTTCCGAGGCCCCCCCTCCGATCACATTTCACATGTCACAAGTTGGGAACAAAACAGACAGACTCCAGTTGGGAGGAGAGAGGAGAAGTTTATTCCAACAACAACCAAGCAAATTATTTGGGCCGGTGTCCAGTGATGGGAGACTCTGGGAAAGCCCAGCTGCTCCGGCTCTCCATTTTGTCCCAGAACACACCCAGAAGCCCCTTCCGAAGATGTCCCCCCTCCCCAAATTATGTAAGTGCAATAACTTACTTTCAGTGAAATAAACCAAAGGCAAGAACATTTTTTTCTTAATATTTTGCGGCAATGAACTTGTAGTACATGGTGGTATAAGGCAATAAAACTTTATTGAGTCAACCTTGGGTGTTTTTGGTGGGTTTTGTTTTTTAGTATTTTTCTTGTTTTTCTTCTTCCATGTATTTTACAGACTTTTTTTTAATATTATATAATATATATTTAATATTCCACCCCAGGCCATTAAGCTAAAGAAAAGTTTGTGTTTATACAAGGTTAAAATATCTTACAATGAGAATGATAGTACTGGTTGAGGTTTGTGTTCTTTCTCTCTCCAGCTCTTTCAACCACTGCACACCCAAACAGTTATATTATTAGACACTGAAAACTGTCCTTCAAAATCAGTAGTATAAAGTCCTAGTTCTAAGTATGTACATGAAGGATGGGGGGAGGGATCAAAGTGGGCTGGGGGGTAAGGCAGGGGAAATAGTTTGGCCAACAGAGCCCTCGATGTACATTGGAAATTCTTGTCTTCCTCATGGCATCATGATGGGAATTGTAGGGAGGAGGGAGGAGGTTCTTGAGGATTTTTTGCCCCTTTTTAAATTTCAGGAAGAACACTGGACCTAAAGCCAGCTCCTGAGAATGGGATTTGAACCTTAGCTTTATTGCCAATGACCTTGGTTAATCACTTCTGTTTTTTCCTCATCTTTAAAATGGAGTTGGGCCAGATAACCTCTGAGGTCATTTTCAGCTCCAAATCCTATGATCAAAGGGCATTGGAAAGATGTTTGGTGGGGAGGCTGCAACACATTACCAATGGTGACTTGTAGGTGAGAAGTGATGGAAGAGATAGCATCAGAAGCAGGGATGATGGCACAAAAAAAAGGTTGGCTAGGTCATGTAGTGTGAGTGAAGGATAGATGGATTGAGTGCTGAATTGGCATTTTTGAAATATCAAAAGAACCAAAGGAAAGTTTCCAGGGAGTTGGGTAGACCCTCTGTGGAAGGTTCAAGGAAAGAGATGGACAAGAATTGCACAAGAGGAGACAACATGGTAGGGTTGGGTCCTGACCAGTGAAGAGTGTGTCCCCATTGATCAGCTCACATATTTTTGAAATATCCAAGCTGATTGGCCATGGAGGGTCTTCAGAATCTCATTTCCCAAACTATTATTCCAAAGCTGGGATGACTTGGTTGCTCTGAATGTGGAGTGTGGAGGTGAGCAAACAGAGTGAAAAAACAGATGGTTTTTTTTCAAACTCCTTCCCCCAATCTCTGTGGCCATGTCTTTGTGGGAGTGGTGTACTGAACAGCCTCAGTAGATTGGCAGAGTCAGTAGCCCTGCCATGGTGGGTAGAGAGGTAGGAAATGTATAAATTAGGTATGGAGATTATTGATAGGGTCATACTTCACCATTCATTTCGCCCTGGTCATCCCACACCTTTATTCCCTACACCTGGGATCCCAGGGGTCATAGAAACTTAGGAATATATTTCCCAGTCCTCAGACAAAAGTTAAAATGAAAGCAGTCATCCCTGGGAGGTCACTCAAACTCAGGCTTTGCTATTCTTCCCACCCATCCACCTTCCTATTGCTTTCCGTCTGGATTCCCCAATCCCCACCCTCACCTGGGCCAGAAAAAGTTGACAAAGGCAGTGCCCTGCCCAGCCTGACCAGAAAAAGAACACAAGAATCCAGGAATCTAACATTTGGAAAGGACCTCGTAGGTTTTCTAAGTCAATTTGGCCTGAGCAAGGACCTTATCTAAAACATTCCCCCAGCTTCCCACTTTGATGGATGGGGAACTTAGCCCTTCTCAAAGAGGTTCAATCTGCATGGAAATAGCTCTCGTTTTTAAATTTGGACATTGAGATGGGGTTAGTTCTAGGGGAACCCCACCATGCAGAGAGAAGACTTGAAGACTCCCGCTGTCCCTCACTTCTTATGGGGGAAGGCATTTTGGTTGAGTTGTGGCTTCATTCCTTATTCCTCAGGTCCTATTTTGGATCAAGCTAAAGCCAATGGGTTGCTTCTGGTCAACCTCCTGGTACAGCAGTTACCAAACAAATCATCCGAACCACCCACTCTTCATTGGAGTTATGTCTGATCCCTGCTGAGAGAGGAGAAAAGGAGCCGCACGATGTGGGATGACTCCGCCAACTTCCTGTTCTTCTGCCCTAGGAATTAGAGGACCAGAGCCCAGCTACTCCAGTGAAGTTGGGACCAATGGACTAACCTACCTTCTTAGGGAGAAGGCTCTGAATGGAGGGAGCAGAGACTATGGGAGCTGGATAGGCAAGGTTTAGGGAGAGATTTCTGTGTTCTCAAGTGCCAACTGTAGCCCACAGCTGCAGTTGGCATTTGAGAACAAATGTAGTATCTGCTGCTCTGTATGGACTCTTCCTTACACATTAAGTTTGTTCTTTCTTTCTTTCTTTCTTTCTTTCTTTCTTTCTTTCTTTCTTTCTTTCTTTCTTTCTTTCTTTCTTTCTTTCTTTCTTGCTAGGCAATGGGGGTTAAGTGACTTGCCCAGGGTCACACAGCTAGTAAGTGTTATATGTCTGAGGCTGGATTTGAACTCAGGTCCTCCTGAATCCAGGGCTGGTACTCTATCCACTGCACCACCTAGCTGCCCCCCAGTAAGTTCTATAAAAGGTTTCCCAGACTCCAAAGGGCTGCAGCAGGAGTTGATGAAACATGTAGCCCAGGGTTCTTTGAAAGAATCAGAAGGCCCCTATTTGGGCTGACAAGTGCCCTCTAGGCTCCTGGCAAGGGATGGGAATTGACTGATGGGGGTCTCTTCCAGTCTGGTGATTCAATCTACTTGGGTTTCTGGATGCTGGAATTTCGCTGATCATTTCTTCTGGGAATATTTCTGAGTCATTGCTTTGAAACATCCTCTCCCTGATTTAGAGGCAGAGGACTTTGGGTCATACCCCAGTTCTGCTCTTTATTTGTTGAGTGACCTTGGGCATGTCATTTCCCATCTTCAGAACTTCACTTTCTCATCTATAAAATGAGGGAATTGGACCAAGCCATTCCTTAGCCTCCCCCAGCTCTAAATCCTGTGATCTTGCAGAGATAACAGAAGCCTATTGAAAGCCCCTCTATTCCCTTCTGGGTGACCATGATTTTCTGATCCAAAAGGAGTATGGGAGGAAGGAGGAACAGAAAGGGTGTTCCTCCCTTTCAGTGATGTGAGCCTGGAAGTGGCATCATTCCAAGCTCCTTGAACAGACCATTGCTCAAAGAGCAGGTCCAAGAACACTTAATCCCAGAGAGTCAGAGACACTTTTCACCTCAGCAAAGATCAGCTCTGAGGCTGTAGCACACTGAGGGGCCAATCCCTGCTGCTTCTTCCCTTTTCCCACCCTCGTTCTCTGACTCATTTCTTGGGGATTCATTCATCGCCAAACAGGCATCTCTGGATGAGATCGCTAGGCAACAAAAGGTGAGACCAGAGGGCTCGTCTCCGTTTTGCCTTTGGGGAGTAATCTTGGGTGAATCCCTTCATCTCATCGTACCCAGATTCCCCATTCATCCATGGAGATCCTCAGGCACACAGTCCCCTGCTGGGAGGAGTAAGAGCAATGGGTCTCCTCTCACCTGGGTTCCTGAGGAATTTTTCACAGGTAGCGTGAGTGCTTAATTTGGAGTCAGAGGGTCTGAATTCTAATCTCACCTCTGGCTCTTATTACCTGTGTGACCTTGGCCAAGTCTCAACTTCCATGGGCCTCATTTCCTCATCTGTAAAATGGGGTGGAAAGTGGACTCTGAGGTGCCTAACTCTAGATCTACAATCTCATGTGGGAGGATCTGAACCTCAAAGCAGCTGAGGTTGGGGGTGGTGGGGGAAGAGCAGGGCAGTGAGTACCATTTGTGGGGCTTTTCAATGAATATTCCTTGGGTAAGATCAGGGTCATAATTTCCTTCTTCTATGATGACCACCCCTCTGCCTCAGAGCCATTCCTGATCCTCACCTGAGAAGAAGACTTAGGAGACCAGGCAAGGAGAGAGAGGCAACATTCCAGTGTCTAGAACTGAGGCAGGGAGCAGTATTCCAAAGGGTGAGAGGGGCTCAGTTTCCCCAAGAGAGCCTTTATCTCAAACTATTCTCCTCTATATATGCTACATTCCAGCCATCCTGCCCTCTCCTGTCTCAATACATTCACCTCTGTCTATTAAGGTCTCTCTCTCTCTCTCTCTTCCTTCAAAGTCCAACTCAGATGCTAATCCTCCAGAAAGTTTTTTCTGCCTTGTTCCCCACCCCCGACCCATGAAAGTGATGTCTCCTTTCTCAAATACCTTAAGTCGCTTTGTCCCCAATTTCTTCCTTTGCACTGATCTCACCCTCCTTTGTATTGTGATAATAGTGCATTTGTTCTCTCCTCACACCACTCCAATATTCACCAACTCCTTGAGAGCTAAGCCTCTGTGGTACCTCTTCCCCCACCAAGCCTTACCCTTGGAAAGAGTATCGGCTCTGGAGGCTGAGGTTGTGTGTTCAAATCCAACTTGAGAATTGCTACCTGTGTGGACAAGTAACTTCACCTCCTGGGACTCTCTTCATCTGTAAAAATGAGTGGGTTAAAAAGGGATGGCCTCTGAGTTCCCTTACTGTGGGTATCTTATACTAGATAGGCAATAATGCATGTTTGTTGGCATGAATGAAACACAAAGAGAGCAGCCAGTGTGGACCCCACTCCAGACTAGTCAGCATAGGAGTAAGGGTTTTGGACTCATGTTAGGGGAACCAGCACTGGGGAGGAGACTCTTGTTAGTATGGCTAGAGCTGCAGATCTTGGTGGGGATTAGAACTGGACCAGTAGGCTGGCAGGTTTTCATGATGATAGTCTATATCTACTCTATCTATATCTAACCCCTGGGTGGAAAAGGAACCATTCACAGAAACAAGCAGTCACTCTGTCTAGCTCCCAAGGGTCCCTGGCATCACATTGCACAGGATCCAGCCACTGGGCAAGTGGCATTGCACAGAGAGTCGGGTAGAATCAGGAGCCACTCCCTTAGCCAGAAACATTTGATTCCTTCTATGAGATGTCTAAGGAAAGGCTAAACGGTTAGGGGGTTCTTTCTACCCAAGAAGAGAAGGCTGAGGAGGAACTCATTGAAAGGTTTTCAAATATGGGAAGGGCTGTTATGACGATAATAACTATTTTATCTGGGGTCAGGAGAGTGTGAATTTCGACTTTTATGGAAAGTATTGGGGCTAGATGAAAGGACGTCCTGGCAGAATAAGTTATGAGCTGTTGGAAGACTGCGAACGGAAAAAGAATGGAATCGATCTGAGATAGTTGGTGTGCAGCACTGCCTGGAGGCAGAGGAGGAACCTGATGACCTCTGGTGGTTCCATTCCAAAGTACCTCCTCCTCCCACCCCCACCCTCCCAAGCAGGAAGAGAGTATAAAGCTTTCCTCCTAGTTTGCTAGCCTATCTCCCCTGGGGACCTAGAGCACTATAGAGTCTGTGGCACCTCTAGAGAATCTAGCCCTAGCTGCCTCAGTTGACTAAGCATCAGAGGTAACTTCAGATTCTGCTCCATTCCCCACCTGTCTCCCAAACTTGTGGGTTAGGGCAGGTTGGGAAATGAGGATGAAGAGGATCCAGCTTCCCTCTGCCTGTCCCTTGCTCTTCTCCAGGGCTCACCTCCCATCTCTGTGCTTTGCACTCTTGGTACCAGCCTGTTACTGTGCTGAGGACTCCCTCCACACGCAACAGATTGCTCTTCCTTACTGGGGTTCTTTCCTTTTGGATTCAGTGATATGAGCAGTCTAGCCCTGAAGGAGATCACTCTTTTCTCTTCACCCATCCCCTGAGTCTGGTCTTTCTCTTTCCCCACTTTAGCCCCCTTTGATTCTTAGCACTCAGTCTCTTGGACAGGAGGAAGATGGGAGACTGTCTCCCTGGCTATCTGCCCATCCTTCGGTCCCAGCCTCCATCACAACCTTCTGTTCTCCCTGACCCAATCTGCATACCATCAGTCCTAAGGCTGGCTCTTCTTGTGATTCCTAACCCTCCCCCCCAAAAAAAGAAAAAAACCAACCACAAAGGCTATCAGTTCCTCCTTCCCAATGGGCATCCAGTTTAGGGGAGTCTCAGTCAAGTACCCAGTCTGGGTTTTGGCAAATGGGACAGCAGCAGAGAGAGGCAGGCAACCCTGGGTTTCAGAGGCAGGCACTTGTGTTATTTCACGGAGAGAGAGGGAAATGGAGGAGTGGATGGGAAATGTCTCCTTGGTGCATAGGAACCATTTCATTAGGAGATTCCAGAAGAAGGTACTCATGCTACAGAAAGAGATGGGTCACAATGAGGGATGTTCTCCACTCCAGGGTCAGGCCCTGTCTGGACGGGAATCTGGCTGGAGGGAATTGGGGCTCAGGATGTGGAGAGATGGCTCCCTTTCCAATGGACGAAAAGCTTCAGAATTTGACAACAGGACTTTTTCTACTGCCTTTTTTACCCAGAGTGGGTGGGACAAGAGCCTCAGAGCGAGGGGAGGCCAGGCCTGTTCCCTTGCCCATCAGGAAGTCCATGAGGACTCAATCAGCCCAGACCTTGGGCAGCTAAAAGTGCTCTCTCAACTTCCTGAAACTACCCTGGCTCCCAGGACCTTGGGCAATGAGGAGAGTCGAATAGGCAGTTGGCCTGGGGACCAGGGGCTTGGCCAATGCCCCGAGGCAGGGGAAGGGGGTAGGGGGAAAGCATGAGGGGCCCTGTCATGTGGCCCAAGAAATGGCAGCACTGTGCTCTTTGGCCTTCATCCGCAGGGCCGCGATGCTGGAGGTCTTCCGGTCAGGTTCACTGTTGAGCTCATAAGCATTGAGGCCAGGGCTGAGGCCTGTGGCCCCAAACAGGCTGCCCATGTGTGTCTGGCCCACGTGGCTGCTGGCCCCGGAGACACTCAGGAAGTCAGAGACACCAGCACTGGCACCAGGAGGATGGGCATGAGGAGACATGCAGGTGGGTACTGGATCACAGGGTACCACGCAGGCTGGGACAGGAGAAGCTGCTCCATTGTTACCAATCCAAGATGGGTTCTGGATCTAGGAAGAGGAAAGTAGAGAAATCACAGGCTGGCTCCTCGAGGACCAGCCAGGGGAGCCTTTGTGTGAGAGTGAATGGAATAGTACCATTCAATACTGGAATATCTTCTCCACTGCCTTTGGCCCAAATTCCACAATGAGAGAGAGAGAGAGAAAGAGAGAGAGAGAGAGAGAGAGAGAGAGAGAGGAGAGAGAGAGAGAGAGAGAGAGAGAGAGAGAGAGAGAGAGAGAGAGATCTTTGGGTCTTGAAGAGTATGAAATGGCAGCTGTGAATGCAGGTGGCATCACAGAACCAGGGTCTAAAAAGGGACTGGTCTGCAACACTGGCATCGTTCAAATACCTGTTATGGATGTTGATGAGGGGGATTTCTGTTTTGGGAGAGAGGCGGGATGGGATGGCATCTAAGGTCACTAAGATTTTATTAGCTGACAACCAGCTGAGACCAACATCTTCTGAAAATAGGAGATGGGAATGGGATATAGGAGAGTTGTCTACAGAAAGGCTGGGGGCCAGGAAGGGGGAAGGGGCCCAGAGCAGGGAGCTGGGAAGCACCAAAGTCAAACTTAACTGACCTCCCAGCTTTGCAGAAAGCAGACCCAGCATCTGGGTTGGGAGCCTGGGGGCTTTGGAAAATGCAGGCCAGGTTGGAGGGGCCAGGCTTCCCAGAAGCTCCCAGGTTTCAGGGCCCCCCTCCCTGGGAACCAAGTTCTCTAGGCAGCCTCCTGGGGGTGGAAAGGCCACTATCCCTTAGCCTGTGCAGACATTGGAGCCCGGCTCAGCCCAGGCATTCACTTCAGCCAACACAGAGCTACAGCTGGGCAGGGGTGCAAAGGGAGGCAGAGCAGAGAGGAGGCCAGAAAGAGGATCTTCCTCTGTGAGATGGCTAGGAGTCAGGCTGCTCTCTGTGTCCCAGAAGGTGACAAAGTCAGAAGAAGGGAAAGTGGAGAGAGAAAAATCTTTCCTTCCCTAAGGCCCAGCCAGGTTCTGGCCCCTAGATCTCCCAAAGCTCTGTAGGTACAGAGAGGAGACAGTGAGTCATCTGTCACAGAGCTCCCTGGCATGACATCCTTTTGGGGATGAGGACAGACTTCCTAGGAGCCTGATTTTCAATCCCAACCATTCCCTCCCCCAATAACCCAAATATTCCATTCTCCTCCATGCTCTTGGAGGCAGGATATCAAAGAACTTATAATAGAAGGAGCAACTCCCATGAGTTCTCTGTTCCTAAGGATGGCAAATGAGGGGTCAGAGGAGAAATGATAACAGGACCCTGGTCCTCACTCTCCCATACTTGATACCTAGTCTTTGAGTGAGGGGGCTGAGGCTGGGATTGGGATTGAGCACTCACCTGGGCGTAGTTCTCTGCTCTGGTAAGGAGAGGCAGCTCATAAGCTGTAGAGAAGTGAGTTCGAACCTGCTGTATCTGCCCAAACCTCTCCCGCTTCCTCCATTTTGCCCGTCGGTTCTGGAACCAGACCTGAGGATAGAAGTATGTGTGGGGAGTGGGCTAGAGATGGGGTCCCTAAGGATTAGGGTCTGAGAGCCCCATCCAGTATCCTGTTTGGCCCTCCATTCCCTAATCCTTTTGAGAATCTCAGAGCATTCCAGCTTAGGCTCGATCGGCTTTATAGAGAGATGGGTAGCACAATAGGTAGAAGCCCTGCACTTGGATTCAAGAAGATCTGAGTTCAAATTCTGTCACAGACACTTAATAGCTCTGTGACTCTGGGCAGTTCTCTTAACCTCACTCAGATTCAGTTTCCTCACCTGTTAAATGGGGATAATAATAGCAATTACCCCAAAGACATACTGTGGAGATGAAATTAAAAGACACAGGTAGAATACTTTGCAAACCTTCAAATTCTGACATAGAAATGCTACCATGTTATTGTTGTTGTTGATGTTGATGATGACAATGATGACGATGATGATGATGATGACAATGATGTCATCATTATTGGACATCACCATCATCATCATCGGCTAAGGGTGGCAAGCAAAACTAAAGCCAATGGATAGAAGTTACTGGGACAAAGATGCTCACCGGATAGCGCGACAGTTAGACCTGTCCAATGATGGGATGGGTTGCCTTTGGAGGGAGGGAGCTCCCTGTTATGGGAAGTCTTCAAGCAGAGGCTCCTTTCTAGATGTTATAGAGGGAAGTCATAGCTCAGGGAGGTCCTCTAAATGAGGCAGCTTGTTGTAGTGGAAAGAACTCTGAATATGGAGTCACAGGACCTGCTTTTAAAATGTGTGCTCTGCTCCATGTTATCAGTGTGATTTGGGGTAGGTCATGTCCTCCTTCTGGACTTGGTTAGGTCATCAGGGAAAGGAGGGGGTTATACAAGATGGCCTCTAAAGTCCTTTCTAGCTCTGAATCCTGTGATTCTGATGGCGATTCCCATGGTGTCATAAATCTCTGCCAACCCTGAAACTCTGTGACTCTGATTCTGCTCTGGGGTTGGATGGAGCTAGGGAATGGGCAGGAAAAAGTGAGGAAGAGGCAGCGTCAAGTCCTGGAATGGCTTTTCACATCTAACCAGAGCTGATTCAAAGGTTCCTTTGGATTAGGGAGACACTGCCAGAGAGGACAAGGGCGGGAGGGATGAAACAGAAGAAAAGGGCCAAACGGTTTTTGGTAAGGGGTGTAGTAAAGGTGAGGAGAAGCAGAGCTCACGCTTAGATAGCATTTATATACAAAAGACAGCATCTGCCCAAGCCTCAGTTTCTTCACCTGTAATATGGGGATTCTAGCAAGAAGCCAGTGCCTCTGTCTCCCAGCTCATTCGATCCTTACACCAGCTCTGTGAAATAAGGGAACGTGTCCAAGATTGCATGGCTGGCTAGTAAGAGGCAGAGTTAGGGCCAGAACCTTAGTCACAGAGTGTTAGGGCAGGAAAGGACCTCAGTGGTGGGTGACCTAGCCTAATCCATACCCCACTACATGTCTGACAATTGGTCATCCATCTTTTGTTTAAAAACTTCCAGGAAGGGGGAACTTCCTACCTCCCATGGCAGCCTGTTCCACTCTGGAAATAACCCTAAGTGTTAGCAAGTTTTCCCTCTAGTCTTTAGCCTAAATATGCCTCTTTATAATTTTTCTCCATTGTTCATAGCCTAGACCCCTGGGACCAAGCAAAATACATCTGACCCTCTTCTTTAAGAAAGGCTTTCAAGTTCTTGAAAGCTCCCGTCACATCCTCCCATGGCTCCCTCTCCTCTAGGCTTCCCCTGACTCTGCTCACTGAGTTTCACAAGATGGCCTCGGTGCCATCTTGTCCTGTCCCCTGCCTCTTCCTGGCATTGAACAGCCCAGGCTGGTCCCCCAGCCTGCCTCCCACCCCTCAGGGCCCAGAGCGCAGAGCCAGGCTTCATCTCCCAATGAAACTAGATCCCGTTTTATCAGTGGCCTGGAATGGGGGGTGGAGGGCAGGATGAGAGGGGGAATAGCCAAGCTTGTTTTCATTTCATGTTTAATTTCCTGCAGGCTTAGCTCAGTCTTTCCGCTCCTCCTGCCTCAGCCTCCCAGGGTTTTATGTGGGGGAAGCTGAGGGGAGGCAGGGGGGGGGCTACATGAGGAGGGGGATGAGGCATCAAGATATATTGCTGAAGTTGTTTTTTCATTTTTGGAAGAAAGAGACGAGGAGGAAAATGCTGAGCAGACTCTGAAGCTTCCCTTCCCACCTCCTGGAGTCTCAGGGCCCTCATGGGACTGAATTGGGAATAGCTGGTGCCTGGGAGGGGGCTGGGGGCTGGGGTTCCCTGGCACATGGACATCTTACCCTAGAAACTGCTTTGAGAAAGGAGGGTTGTTCAGATGTATGGGGCAGAAGGCAGTAGGGGCATGCCTGCTTCTCTGGGGAGGAGGAGGAAGAGGAAGAAAAGGAGAAAGAAGAGGAGGAGGAGAGGAGGAGAGGAGGCAAGTGGTCAGGAGAAGATAGTGGGTGAGGTGAGAAGAGGAGGTAAAATGTGGAGGGGAGGAATAAGCAAGACAGGTGTGAGAAAGGCTATTAGTATGCTGGTTACGGAGGATGAATGGGGTTAATGGAGATAAAGATATTTGTGGGAAAGAAAGGGAGGAGGGCTCCCCAAGGGAGTTCCATCAATGTTAAATGAGTGTGCAAGGAGAAAAAGGCAGGTGTGGATGAGAGAGAGAGAGAGACCGAGACAGAGACAGAGACAGAGAGAGACAGAGACAGAAACAGACAGACAGGCAGAGAGAGAGATGGAGAGTTCAGAGGTGGTGTGTGTGTTGTGTGTGTGTGTGTGTGTGTGTGTGTGTGTGTGTGTGTTGGCGGTGGGGAACAAAGAGTTGAGATGGCTGTTCTGGGGTCCCATCCAGCTCCTCCATTCTGTCCTATGTCTTCAGTTCCCTCCTGACTCTTACATTCTATGTTCTAAGCTTCCATCTAGCTCTGACTTTCTATGTTCTAAGGTCACTCCCAGCTAAGATTATGTTCTAAGGTCCCTTTGAACTCTTGACATTCTATGGTTCTATACCTAATCTCAGTTTATAGTTCAACCCAGGAGGCAGGAGTGGGGCTGGGGGTGGGGAGGAGCTCCCCTAGGGAAGGAGTATCTGGCCCATAGTAAGCCCTTAACAAATCCTCATTGATTGACTGACTGATGGATTTATTAGAGTCTGCATTCCTGAGCTCTAGAACCTGCCAGACTTTCCATCCCTGTGGCTTCCAAAACCTCCAAAGTCTAGCTCTACTAGACCAGACATCCCTACTCCCCACTCCCCCAACCATACCACCCCAAAACTCAAATCCCTGGCTTTCAGACCCCCTCCTGCTCCCCAGCCACATTCCCAAGTCCTCAGGCTTTGGAATCATGTGGATTTCCCAAGGTCTCTATTCTAGAATCCAAAACCCTAAGAAGTCTAAGTGTCTGTTCTTCATCAGTGCTAGCATCCTGAAGCTGCCGGAAGTTCTCAAATCCTGAGCTTCAGGACCACCACGCCTCTGAACCCCCGCCCCAAGCATAGGCCCACTCAACACAGGCCTCTCTGGGGGGCTGAACCGTGCAAGGAACCAACTGCCTTGGCAAAGCTCATGCTAACCACAGCCCATCTGGGGCCAGGGTGGGGTGGGCCAGGGATGGGGAGGCCTTATTGTCTTCAGACACCAGCTGCGGAGATTGGAATCCTAGACAGGCACAGAAGAGGCCCCTCCAGCACCTGGAGCCCAGCCAAACACCAGGCTCACTCCTGGGAAAGCCCACCCCTCCTACTCTATCTGCGTCCTCCTCAGCTTGGCTCCAGGCCCCTGGGGTCCCCAGCAGGAGAGTCCCTAGGCTGCACACGGGGTGGAAGTCATCTGGCCATCCAGTAGGCCCTTCTTTCAAGGCAGAGAAAGGCATCCATTTCCTATCTCATAACTTAGAGGTAGCATGTATGTGTATGTTTACACACGCACAGATGTATAACATATATTATATATATTATATATGTGTGTGTCCACATACATACATACACACACATTCACATTTACATAGATACATACAGGCACGAGCTGATGAGGAAACAGGCACAAATGTGAAGTGATTTCCCCTGGATCACTCCAGGAGTAACCTCCCTGGTGTGTCCTCTCCTCTTCCCCTATTAGAATGTAATCACCTTGACAATAGGGGACTGCCATGGCTTCTGAATTTGTATCCCCAGTGTTTAACACAGCACTTGCCACATAGTAAGTGATTCATTCATTTATTCATTCATTTGTGCATTCACTCATTCACTGATTAATTTGTTCCTTCGTTGATGGCAGAGCCTGTTTTGGGACCCAAGTCTTTTGACTTCTAACCCAATGATCTTTCCTCTCTACCACACTACCATATTATAATAATAGTAGAGTGTAAGCTCCTTGAGGGCAGGGGTGGTTTTCATTTTTGTCTTTGGGTCCCAGGATAGTGCCCAGCCCATACTAGGTGCTTAATGAAAGCTTATTGAATTGTTGGCTGATGCCTCCTCATTACTGTCATGGGCTATTCTTTCTGCATAATATTCCCTCAACCTTCTTTTCCACCAATACACATGCTTTCTTCATTTTATTTTATTGCTTTTGTTTTTTGGCAAGGCAATGGGGTGAAGTGACTTGCCCAGGGTCACACAGCTGGTAAGTACCAAGTGTCTGAGGCCAGATTTGAACTGAGGTCTTCCTGAATCCAGGGCCAGTGATCTATCCACTTTGCCACCAAACTGCCCCTCCCTCTTCATTTTAGAGCCTTGCTTTGGCCTCACCTCCTCCAAGAAACCTGTCTACTGAGTCAAGTTCAGATTTCTTTTCCTGGCATTCAAGGCCATTCACCATCTGGGGCTACTCTTTCTTGTCTTACCTCACATTCTTCCCCTCACACACTCTGTGCTCTAACTGCATTCAATTATTGTCTGTCCTGATCATTTTGTGTCATTGCTTGGTCCCCTCTGCCTTGTGTATCCTTACCCATTCTTTAAAACCTGAATTGAATGCCACCTCCTACAGGAAGTTTTCCCTGATTCCCTCCAGTTGGTAACCACCTTCTATATCAGGCCTCACATAATGTGTTTTTCAGCTCTTCTATCCTCTTACTATACAAGAATTCAATGAAGGCAGAAACTGTGTCTCATCTAAACACATCCCCAGGGCTGAGCACACAGTAGGAGCTTCATCAATGTTCACTTTTACTCAGCTTCCTCCACCTCTTGCTTTTGGTCTTAGCTACCTTTATTCAACAAGAAAAGATGGGGGTTAATTAAAGACACCAGGGGTAATGGGAAGATCATTGGATTAGGAGAGTTAGTTTGGACTCAGCCCCCAGTCAGCTGGGTAACCTTGGGCAATCATTTCTCCACTCTGGTCCTTGATTTTCTCATCTGTCAAGTGGGGATAATAATCCCTGCTCTAACTCATGGAGTCAGTGTGAAGATTGAATGCAATAAAATAATGTATGTAAGCTTTCCAGGGGTAAGACTTTACCCCTTTAGGTAAACAAGGCTTTTAAAATGTATTTTTTAATGGAAGGGATGTGAACTAGACGTGTTGGATTCATTGGTAAAGGAAAGAAACTCCTTGGCAGCTTGGCACCTTCTCTGTAATTTATGGTCTCAGAATTGTCCAGGGCACTGAGAAGTTAGGGGATTTACATGGGGTCTCACAGCCAAGATATAAGGGGCAGAAGTTGAATCTAGGACTAGCCATGCTTCTAAAAGACATCATGCATGTCCTCCCCTTCTTAAAAGGAGGCAACTTTGGACTCTTTGCACATGGTTCTAATAAGATTGCTGTTTCTGCTGGGAGGTTGTGGAGATTTGAGCTTGATGTAAAGGACAATCTCCTAAGAATTAGAGCTTTTTCTCTCAGGAGTTGGGAGGTTACCCGTCTTGGGAAATCTCTATGCAGTGAATGGCTGAGTATTTGTAAGGAATGTTCTAGAGGGGATTCACTAGGATTCTTGTTCAGGTATGAGTTGAACCAAGATGGCCCCGTCCCACTCTGAGATTCTGTGACGTTCATGTTCCTTGGTTTTCTAAAAATGTTTTTCCAGTCTAACCCATCAATTGTGAGACCCTCAAAGGCAAGGGCCCTGCCTTCTTCTCTCCAACCTCACACTGCCCATATCAGGTATACTTGATTGACCTCTTGACCAGCCCAGCTTGAATTCTGGGCCTGAGAGAGCCGCTTCAGCCTATCATCCCTCCCCTCCCTGACCCTACACCAGACTGACCTGCACCCGAGCCTCGGTGAGGTCCGTCCTCATGGCCAGCTGCTCTCGGGCATAGACATCTGGGTAGTGGGTCTTCTGGAAGACCTTCTCCAGCTCTTCCAGCTGGTAGCTGGTGAAGGTAGTACGGTTCCGTCTCTTTTTCCCTTTGTTGCTTTCTGAGTCGACCTTTTCCATGGGGCTGGGTAGGTCTGTGCCAGCCCTGTCCTGGGAGCCCTTCACCCCAGCCTCCTTCACGCCGAGGTAGTTGCTGTCCATCCCCACTGGGTCAGAGTTGGGTGCTATCTCAGTTTCTCCCAAGGAACTTTCTTTGGCTGAGAGAGTAGGCAGAGAGGTAGAAAAGGAAGAAAATAAAGATAGAGACAATTAAGCAGGTAGCCAAAAGGCCAATCATGATAATATTTTTTTTCCAGGACTTCTAGGTTGACAGATGACTCCTCACAAGAGGAGATAGCTACTGCCCATGGTATTGTCTCCTTTTCAGGCAGAGAAACAGGCTCAGAGAAATCCAGTGACCTGCCCATGGCCACCCAGGCTAGTCATTGTTGGATCTGAAAACTGAGTCGCGGCTCCAATCATGTGAAGACTGAGAGAGAGAGGAGGACAGAGAAGAAGTAACTTCCCATACCACGAGGCTGGGGGTGGTGGTGGTGTATGTCATCTCCAAGACCCTTCCCTGTTACCTTTGTTGTATAGTGCAAAGATTATTATATTTGAATTCAGAGGATCTAGTTCTGAGACCTTGGACAAGTTATTTCCTCTCTCTGTGCCTCAGTTTCCTTATCAGGAAAATTGAAAGTGTTGAACTAGGTGACTTCTGAGGACCTTCCAGCACACGTCCATGATTCTATGATCAGAGTAGCCCATGCCATGAAGGTCCATGGCCTCTAGCCCCTGACCTTCTTTACTCCCTGGGTCTTTGGGACCAGGTCCTCACTTCCCTATCACTTCTCTGAGGGGGTTACCTATGGATACTGTTTCTGTTTTCGGGTAGTTAAACTGAGGCACAGAGAGCAATGATGTTTTTACTCCAGCCGGAACTTTGGGAATGGGCAGCATTCTAGTAGTGCCTGGGATTCCTCCTCACTTCCTGCCTGGCTCACTGTGGCCTTTTTTTTAAAAAAATTTTTGGTGGGATGATGTTGAGAAAGCCCAGTGCTTACCTTCTGCCCCACCCAGGAGCCATCTGCATGTACCGTGTCCCGGGCATAGAGTAACAGCTGCTGAGTGGGCCAACATTTGCCATCCTTGATCTTCCTCTCCCAAGTCTTGCCCATTATCAGATAGAAAGATATTTTTGTTTTCCTTGCAGAGGGTCATGTTTCCTAATTGAAAACAGTGCCCATTCCCTGGTTCGTTTGCCAGCCAGGGATACTCAGGTGTAAATTGAGGATCTTCCCATTGACAGTGCTGGGTTGACAGCTTCCCTGTGTATTTTCCCAGGGCTAATTGACAATCTGTCACATCTGGCTTCATTTGGATACAGCTGGTGGATGCTGGCCTGTAGCCATCCCCATCAAGCAGGGCATGGTTCCCGTCAAGGATTTTAAGAACTGGAACATGAGAAATCACCTAGCCTGACTCCCTCATTTTACAGATATATCACAGGATCAGAGATGTATAGCATGGTGGGACCTTAGAATTCATCCAATCCAACCCTTCTTCATTTTACAGATGGGGAAGCTGGGCCTCAGAGAGGTGAAATGAAAAACCTCAAAAGGGCTAGTGACTCAAGTGACCTGGGTCTTCTGATGGTCTCATAATCCCCTTTGCCACTCCAGAGCCTCAGAGATATAATAAGGATACATTGAACGTCCAGCCCTGGAGGTGGCCACTTTGGAGTGATGATTGTCATGTTTACAAAGTGTTTACTTTGTATCTATTTCCTATTGACTCAAATGTATAAAGTCTGCTTCTCTACATTGAATGTAAACTCCTTGGGGGCAGGAAGTGTTTCTTTTTTGTCTTTATGTTTTCAGTGTCTAGCATAGAACAGTTTAAAATAGCAGTTGAAAGATTTTGGGTTTTTTTTCTTTTTTTTTTCCAGTGGGAATGAGTTGGGAGGGAGGAAAAATGGATTTTTACTACTTAAATAAATTTTTAAAAGATTATCAAATGAATGATTGAATATTTTCCTCACAAAAGCCTTGTATGTGTGATCCCCCATTCTACAGATGGAGAAATGGAGCCTCAGAGATGTTAAGTGATTTGCCTAAGGCAACTAAATGGAAGAGTTAGGATTCTTGAGTCTGAGTGTAACATTATTTTCAATCTGCCATGCTGATTCTCCCTACAACATCCCCAACTGCTATGCTGTTTCCACTTTCTATACCTACATGTGATGCCTGCTCATAACAGTCCTGTTGTCATCAGGACAGAGCCTTGAGTCCCTTTAAACACAGGATCATAGAAAACAGGACCCCATATCCCTGTGGCCAAAGTCACACTGTTACCCTTGCAGCCATTGTCTTAATTTCTCAGCTCTCATCTTGGCTGGCAAACCCATTGGCCTATAGTGCTCAAAGAACCCTCAAAACTTCAGGGAATAATTAAAAAGAAACATGACTGGAGATTCTGTTGTGCCTGGGGGCCAGGGCAAGAATTGCCTTGGGAACAAGCAACATGAATTCTCCTTCAAGTAAACTTTGTAACTCATAATATGAAAAAAAAATTACAAGAATGAATTAAGACCAACTCAGTAGAGTGGGAGGGGGAATTTCTTTCTAAAGTACAGCTCTAGGAGCTCACAATCACTGCACTCTCTAAACTGTGCCGGCCTGGGACAAAGCCCCAGTCATTACGCTCTAGTGACGGGTCTGTTTTCATGTTCTTTGGAGTAGTCCCACATTCACTAAATTCAGGGCTAGAAGACACTTGAGAGTCATTCTGTCCAACACCCAAAGTCCAAAGAGCAAGACACCGGGGAGAATGGTAACAAGGCAGAGAATCAAGGCTCTATCAACTTGGTTTTTTTCTTTTTTTTCCTTATTTGGAGGCAACTGGGGTTAAGTGACTTGTCCAGGGTCACACAGCTAGTAAATATCTGAGACTGAATTTGAACTCAAGGAAAGGAGTCTTCCTGACTGCAGGCCAGGCACTCTATCCACTGCACCTCTTAGCTGCCCCATTTCTGCTGTGTTATGCTGTTATTATTCCCATTTTATAGCTAGTTGTAGCTGATTTTATATAAGGGTTTGAGGTTTAAAAGCATTTTATGTTCACCATCTCATTTGATTCCCCCAACAACCCTGTGATGTAAAAATATTATTATCCCCATTTTAGAGATGAGGCCACTGAGGTTCAGAGAAGGAAGAGAGTTGTCTGATCTCATGTGGTTAGCAAGTTCCAGAGCTGGGACTCAAACTCGTGTCCTTTGACCTCTGGGTTGGTTTTGCTACTCAGCCCCAGTCTTTGGGTACATTCAGCCAAAAAAGTATAAACATTTAGAAGCTCAGAAATCGTGACTCCCATTTCTATACAGAACTTTTAGATCTGTAAAACATGTGTCCTTCAATAGCCCTGTGAAGCAAGTGGAGCAAATATCATTATACCTTTGTTCCAGATGAGAAAACCAAGGCTCAAAGAAGGGGACTTGCCTGAGATTACACAGTGATGGATTATTGAGGACGCTACCAATGAAGCAAGCTTGGCACCCACTGGGCCAGACAGGGAATTGGCTTCTAAATACAGATGAGTGAGGAGGGTTCAGGACATCCCATCTTTACTGCTGGAAATGGGATTCCATACTTTACTAAGAAGGGATCAGAGATCCATAGGACAGACAAACAAGGCATCCTGTCATCACAAATTATCACTAGATACACAGTAATGTGGTCATTGGCTTAATCCTCTCTTCAGAAAAAGGAGACTGGAGCCAAGAAGAGTTAAAGATGGTGGACAAGAGACCAGGAGTTGGTCTGAGAGCCGCTTGGACAGGCAGGTCAGTCAGGGATGCAGCAGCTGCACAGCATATGCACAGACACACACACACACACACACACACACACACACACACACACACGCAGATTGGTCTGCCAAGCCCAGGCTTCACCGACAGTGTGATGCAGACTGCAGCTGGCAAGCTGGCTGGGAGCTTTCAACAAAGATATTTATCTTCTCTGGGCACAAATCATTTCATTTTTAAAAACTATTCTTAAGGGGGGAAAAAAACCACCTAATCTCACTCAAAATGAATAGTCCAATTATGCAACAGACCCCAGAAATGAAACTGAGGAAGGTCTTAATGGGCTGGGGGCAGCAGCACATTTCTCCTCCTGAGAGGAGACCCTCATTTCCCAGTCAAGCCTTGTAGGTCTCTAAGCAAAATCTATAAATACAGTAGCCAGCATCTTTTGGAGTCAGCCTTAGGATGGGCCAATCTCTGGAGGCAACAGAGTACTTCCTTATGGAGCTAGGAACTGGGGGAACCCAAATTTCACAGTCATAGAATGTCCCAGCTGGAGTATATAGAACATGGAACGTTAAAATTGGAAGGGACCCACGAACAAAGACTGTAGGATAGTTGCATTTTTCTGAGAACCCAAGAAGATTCAGGAGGCCATTCCAAGGATCACAGACTTTGAAAGACCAAAGGTCATAGAAAGTTGGTGGCTGGAATGTGTGGGCAGACACACGTTTTCCCAGAGTTCCCAGGTTTCCAGTGTCCTTTGGCCTTGAAGAGACTTTCACCCAGAGTTATTTTTTTTTGGGGGGGAAGGGGAGATATTGGGTCCAGTGAGACAGAGAAGACGGAAGAAGTGGCCATCTCAGCATCGTACTTGTCCTGTCAAAGCAAGGATCTTGGGACAGGTGCACTGCCTTCGGTGAACAAAAGCAGGGAAATGGGAAGTATGAACCAAAATCTTTTGGGGGCATGTGCATGGAAGCAGGAAGGTGAGAATAGAAGAATGGCAAGTATGTGCCAGGGGAGGCCTGGAGCCAGCCAGAAAGAGGGAGGATAGGAAGCCCAGCAGAGGGACCGGGACCAAATTGGGTCAAACTGACAGCTAGCTGCTTGGTGAGAGTAGGCAGATGCCAGGTCTTTGCTCCCAGCCTCCATGGGGCAGGATGCTGTAGGAACTCCCAATTGCCTCACCTACCCACCTCCCTTCCTGTCTCTCTCTAGCTAGTGGAGAGGAGGGTAGGGAGGGGAAGAGAAGGGAATCAACTTGATTATTACAGCCTGTTAGTGGCTATTTGGGGAGAGAGTTGGGATAGGCAGCTAGATGGCTCTGCAATGGATAGAGTGAGGGGCCTGGAGTCAGGAAGGCTCACCTTCTAGAGTTCAAATCCGGCCTCAGACACTTACTAGGTC